TGGTCCATATCACTTATTGAGTGTGCCTATTGAATTCTATGAGTAAAATGACCCATAAAACATGTGTCGCACATGCCCTTTTCTATATTTTGTTTTTTGGTGACCTGACCTGACCTGACCTGACCTTGACCTTGACCTCTGAATGATATTGTATGCAACGAATATTGTCTTGGTAGCCTAAGAACACGTTTTAGGCGATCAGTCTCAGTCCATGACTCCATTCTTCGGCAACTACGGTGCAAGGCCGATACTGTAGAAACTTGCAATTTGTACCCTTGACCTGACCTTGACCTTGACCTCAAACTTTAAATTAAGTACATGTTTTTAGTAGTTCGTGATGAGAGCTTTCGATTGGCGTTTGAATTTTCCAAATCGGACCGTTAGTTCGGGAGATAACAGGGGGGGGTAAAATTTACCCCCCCCCCAGCCCCGCGCGTTCGGCTGGAGACCCCAGCCCCGCGCGGGTTAAGAGAAATACAAATCGACGTCTGAGACGTATCTGAAAATACAATATAAGAAATCTAGCTCGACAAATGTAAGTTCGGTGCCTAGAGTACGTCAAAATAACACAAACTCGTATGTCCCAATGACATCACAGTTTGAGCGCACATTTAGCGCATACACATTTACATTAAATCCCAAGGAGACCAAAGCCCGTCAATAAAGCCTACTTTGCACATGGCATGCCTTCACATGGCTGCCCATTCCGCAAATATAAATTTATGTAGGTACCATGCAAGTTATTTGGGAGGCAATTTATAACGGAATATTGTTAAGTCATGTCAAAGACGGACCATCATTTCCAGACTACCTGCACAATCAATGCAGATGCTTAGGTCGTGTAGTGGACTGAGTTTAAGACTGATTGATCGGCAATTTTCGGTACTGGAGCGGCCATAGATGTGGATGCCCATCCAACGGCAAAGCATTGATTACACATATGCTTGTAGATCAATGCTTTACAACTTGCGCTATGAGCGCATGGAGATGAGTTTTATGAGTAGTTGTAAGCTACGATATTTCACAGAGCATATGGCGCTTACACGAATGTCTACCCTTCCACTTCATGGGGGTCGGTTACTTGACTTCTCACTCTTCTGAACGGTGGCTTCGAAGGCATCATTTTGAGGACTTTCACTGCTACCACGTACCCAGCTTTTGTGCGCCACCTCTGTCTCGATGCGACAACTGATTCAATAATTATATGGCTGTTTTTTTTTCCATCACTCTTTATTACACATTTTCTTTACAACACAACTACCACATTTTCCAACGCACATACATGATGCTCACTACATTAGCATGTTTGGTTACAGCACAGTACCATATTAATATCTCGTACTCTAATTTCCCTTTCATTCTTGTCATGGTCGTACATAAATTCAGCTTGTGTCAGAATTTTCATTTTTTGTAACAAGTTCACAAACCTTGGCTTTTCTTTTCTAACCTTACAACTATATATGTACCATTTTCCTATCAAAATGAGTCGCTGGATCGCTGTTGCGGTTTCCCTAGGGCATTCGTACAAAGCTGGATCAAATCCCAATATGATTTCCTGAGGGTTCAATTCCAGCGTAATCTTCAATCGGTCACGTATCATATCTTTCACCGATTGCCACATCGCACCCACTTCTTCGCAAGCTACCATTAGGTGTTGTATCGTCTCTCTTTCCCTACCACAAAAGGTGCATAAGTCGCTGACGTCCATGAATTTCGATGCAAAGGTATTTGTTGTCAAAATTCGGTGAACAATTCTGTCCTGGAACCATATCAAAGTTGTATTCTTTGAACACCTTTTGTATCGATAATATATATGCCCCCAAAATATGTTAGAACTCAAAATAGAGTTCCATTTAATTTGACTAGGTAATGGTGAATCTGTTTTCTTATATCTCACATTCAGTAAGGCATCATAATATTGTCTGCAATCGCCGTTCAATATTTGCAGTAGAGCCGGGTGGATGAACGGTCCTATTGGCTTTTTGCCTCCGAATTCACTTGGTATGGAAATTCTTTGTACCAAGCATCGCAATGTCTCAAAAGTCAAAGCGTTCAAACACCCAGGATAAGTTCTCCTAAATTCTTCAAAGGACATAAGTTCTCCTTGAGAACTGTAAATATCATTTATTGACCTACATCCAGCGTCGAAAAGTTTACGTTTCCAAAAGGGCTTTCGTCCTATCACTATTTTGGAAGATAAAAAGATGGGAATCTGCCAAACATCGCTTGCTTCAACTACGAGCTCGTGCTTGAATTCATCATATGCAGAAAATACATCACTCCAAAAAGGATTCATATTCGAGCCAAACTTGTTCATATAACGGTCACCGCTACTTAGTAGCCTATCCAATTCCACTTGCGGTCCCACAATATTTTTTACGGTCAAAAAGCGTCGCACCCAAGCAAGTTTCATAGCTTTACCATACGTTCCCACGCAGGGTATGCCATAATGCGTTATCAAATGGGACCGACGTATTTTGTCTGGCTTGTTGTCCCACAAAAATCGGAAAAACTGCTTCTGCAGTGCATCAGTCATCGCAGTTGGAGGATTAGGCAGTACTGTCAAGACGTACGTCAGCTTGGACAAAGCAAGTGACTTTAAAACCGTCCGCTTCCCGTATAAAGTTAATCGCCGTCGGAGCCAGCCCTTGAGCATGTTTGTTATTGACTCGACTTTTCTTTTAAAGTTGACTGCTACCATTTCATGCATGTCCTTGGTGAAAATGATTCCCAAGTAACGAAAACTGTCCTGCACACATGAGAACTCTGACTGTGTGATAAAGGATGGCGGCTCACCCGGACCTGAATATAAAAGCTCCGACTTCTGTGGATTTAGGGACAGCCCTGAAACCGCTCCAAATTCAGCAATTGTTTTCAAGCAAGCCCTGAAACTACTCTGGCTCCCATCAAGTATGAATGTGCTGTCATCAGCATATTGTTCCAGTTTAATCTCTTGATGATTAAAGATATATCCTTTTATGAGACGATTATTTCGCACCAATATACCCAAAATCTCTGCACAGAGAATGAATAACAAGGGCGAGCAGCAGTCCCCTTGTCTGCAGCCGCTCTCAATTTCAAAGAAGCCGGTAGATATCTGATTCTGTGATATGCACGATGAAGCATCCCGGAGCATTGTGGCAATCCACCGCTGCATATCCGCCCCAAAATTAAAGAACTGCAAAGTCTCCATGATAAATTCGTGGCTCAGAGAATCAAAAGCCTTTCGATAATCAGCAAATAAAAAGAGAACGTTTTTGTTGTTTTCCTTTCTCTTTGTTTCCCACAGAATATCATATACAGATCTGATACAATCTCCAATATATCTATTTTTCATGAAACCCTTCTGAGCCATGTTAATTAATCTTCCCATGACTTTTTTTAATCTGCCAGCAATAACTGTCGACAATATCTTCTGAGACGTGTTCAGTAATGAAATTGGCCTCCAACTGTCCATACATGTCTTTGGTTTGCCTGGTTTAGGAATGAGAGTTAATAGTCCTTGCCTTTGAGTGACCGATAAATGGCCGTTTTCAAACGCATAATTAAAGGATCTCACAACCAGGTACCCAATTTCCGGCCAAAAGGTCTTAAAGAAATTCGCAGTAAACCCATCAGGGCCAGGGGATTTATCATTATGTAAACTTTTCACCGCCTGCGATGCTTCCGAGATGGATATTTTTCCCTCAATGCTATTCTTCTCTTCGTGACTCAATCGAATCGCATTATTTCCCAACAAATGTTCTATATCTTGTAATTTTTTCGACCTCTCTTTACGTTTGTAAATTTCCGAGAAGTGTCTGACTAGAGCCGTCATTATCTCCTCCTGATCTGAAATCAAAGTCCCACCTACCTCTAAACAAGATATATATTTTTGCGTGTACTGCCGCTTTTCTAGGCTGCAGAAGTAACGAGATGGAGTTTCCCCATACTCGATCCATCGCGCCTTTGCTCTTAGCAGAACGCCTTTCATCCTGCTCTTACGAAGTTCTTGTAACTCAGCAGAGGCATTATAAAGCTCGTTCAAACTAACATTGTCCCCCTCGTTCTGTACTCTATGTTCCAGTGTTACAATTTCACTAATTAATTTATTTTCTCTTTCCGTTGATAACCGTTTCTTTCTTGCACTATACTGAATACTCAATCCTCTTAAATGGCACAACAAAGTTTCAAAAAATAATTGATCATTCACAATAAGGACTGCGTCTTCGTCGCTATCCATTGTGACGGGGTTATATATTGGCAGCAAATACTGACGCCTGAATTCTCTTATACTTTTGCGAATCATTTCCACAAAATCGTTGTCATCCAATAGAGAATTGTTGAACTTCCAAAAACCTCCTCTCTGCCTAGCTGCGCGGGACAAAAGTGTTAGTGAGACCAAATTATGATCAGTTCTGTATCCAACTTCGATATCCGCGGTTCCCACCATGCTCATCAGTTCCGGGGAAACCAGGAAAAAGTCTAACCTAGCTAGTCTCAGCGGTGTTGGCTTACGCCATGTGTACCTCCTCGTCGTAGGGTGCAGCTGGCGCCATACGTCACACATTTGTTCAGATTCAATGAAATCTAGTACCACTTTCCTAGCAGTTGGATTTCCCACTCGCCTGTAATGTTTAGTGTCGTTTGCCGGATCTAATGCCATGTTCCAATCGCCAACAAAGACGGAGGGATCCTCTGGCAAACATTCGATTTTTGTGAAAAGTTCCCTATAAAAATTGGGATTATCTTCATTAGGACCATACAGCGCTATCAAGTTAATTTTTCCAAAATTTTCACAGTCAGCACTTATTATCACGTAATTTCCCCCCGGGTCTACTAGAGTACTGCAAATATTTACCCCAGCATTGCGATTTATTAATATTATGATGCCTATTATTATATGGCTGTTACTGTAACTACTCTAGCAGCTGTGCGGTCAGCGACAGACCATTTGACACGCCCCCCCCCCCGCCTCTCCCGGCCCGAGGGGAGGGCCGCCGACACCCCGTCTCACTCACCGAGCTTGTTCTGCGGCCGCACCGGCTTCTGGTCGTGGTCGGTGGCCGACGGGATGATGGCATTGTAGTTGGCCAGCGTGTGCACCATGTTGACCACGCGCGGCCGTTCCTCCAGCTCCTCCTGTAGGTCACACGGGGTCAGAGGTCAGTGACGAGGGTCAGAGGTCAGGGTCATGTTGACCACGCGCGGCCACTCCTCCAGCTCCTCCTGTAGGTCACACGGGGTCAGCGGTCAGTCAGGGGGGTCAGAGGTCAGTGGGGGTCAGAGGTCAGTGGGGGTCAGAGGTCAGGGTCATGTTGACCACGCGCGGCCGTTCCTCCAGCTCCTCCTGTAGGTCACACGGGGTCAGCGGGTCAGTCAGGGGGTCAGAGGTCAGGGCCATGTTAAACACCCGCGGTCGCTCCTCCTGTAGGTCACATGGGGTCATAGGTCAGCGACGGAGGTCAGAAGGTCAGTAATGGGAGGTCAGCGGGTCAGTGAGGGTCAGTGGGGGTCAGTGGGTCAGGGAGGGGTCAGAGGTCAGCGGGTCAGTGAGGGTCAGTGGGGGTCAGAGGGTCAGTGACTGGGGTCAGAGGGTCAGTGAGGCCAGTTGGGGTCAAAGGGGTTAGCGCGTTAGATCAGCAGAGGTCGGAATAGACACCTCAGCGGCAGGTCAGTTGCATTTTATGGTAAAATACATTCCAACACCAAATATGCTCTTTCACCAAGGAACAGTAATGGCCAAATCGCTCGGATCGGTTATAGCGACCGAAAAGTACGTAGTCAATGCGCTTAAAAAGGTGAAGTCCCCACGAGGCACCCTAAAGCCTAGAGATGGCCTGGGAAGTACGCACTTGCCTTAGAGGAGGGTGGAGTGCAGATATCATTATGCTAAAGGCTCTGTGGAAGTTTCATCTATCAGTCTGGAGAGAAGATCCGACATTTGACGCGGTTGAAAGGACGCCTCACTGTGCGGCCCAAACTGACCTCATCTAATATTTCCCAAAGAATAACACTGCGGCGGCACCCGAACAGCCCATCACCGGGTGATACCACCGTCTTATCTTACCACTAAACCGCGAAACTAACTGACAGAGGGTGTGAAATACCCAACGAGTCCTGTCGGAAGATCGTCTCTAACCTCTGCTAATATGAGGTAGTTCATTACTGCTGTTATAGCGCAGGTGTTCCATCCTGTTACAGCGTCATCATGCGCGCCACACCGCGCCGCAGAACTGCAAGGGAGGTGTATAGCCATGGTCGCGGCCCATGGTGGGCATTTGGAGCTGTATAAAAATAATCTCACTGCCTGTAATATACAGTTGCCACTTAGTCATCAGTGCTGATATGCCACTCTTAGATCCAGAGATAGTGGGGTTCGCATTACATCAGAACTTACGGGTTCTTTACCCCGTATGCGATTTTTAAAACGAATGTTAAAGTAACCGAAGGTTTGTTGTCAATAGTTAAAACACTATTCTTTAGAATCGTGTTTTTTTCTATTGAAAAACAAATCTGAGTTCTATTGAAAACCAAATTCCTGAAAATTTGGCAAAATAGGCTGAAATTATGTTTTAATTTCGTGGTTAAAATAAATTAAAAGGAACGTGTCACAAGTTCAGAAACGCTGGCATAAGCCTTTGGCTTTTACCACACGAGCAAAATTGCGAGCAACTGACGAACACGTCAAACGATCTGACCTCTCGCCGTGCACGTGCCGCGCGCCCCTGCCGGTATGAAGAGCACTTCAGTAGGGACTCGCCACCATTGTGATAAGCAATGATGACACGGCCATGTGATCAACCATCCACTGCGCACAAACCACCCTGCAGCTACGAGTTACGGACAAACTGGTCCGTTCATTCCGGTCCGTTGGTAAGTGGCGTCATAGGGATCGCAGGTAGCGCCTGCCCGCCAGTTGTCCGGTCCAATTAGCCCCGCGTCACGCAACAATCAACCGAGCGTGGCCACCCCTCCGGCTTCTGACGACGGCTTTTGCACACGACTCGGCTGCACCACCGAGGAGGCACCCCCTACCCCCCCCCCCCCCCCAACGGAACGCAATCAGCCCCCGCAGGCGGGTCCCACGACTAAGGTGAAGGCAGTGCGCCGCTGAGTGAGCCGTGGTCAACCGGCCCGTGCCCTCTCCCAGGCCAGAGCGAATATAGCCGCCTCCGACCGAAAGTGACCGCCAGGGGAGGTGTGTTTCCGCCTTCCGGTTCCGTGCGTTCGATCAACCGGGTCGGTGGGCGATCATCGGGGGCGGATGGCCGCCTTGCCTCCCGGCCGGACCGGTCTGGAGGACACTCCTCCGTGACGAGGACACTCCTCCGTGACGAGGACGCTCCTCCGTGACGAGGACGCCGCTCGGTGACGAGGACGCCGCTCGATGACGAGGACACTCCTCCGTGACGAGGACGCTCCTCCGTGACGAGGACGCCGCTCGGTGACGAGGACGCCGCTCGATGACGAGGACACTCCTCCGTGACGAGGACGCTCCTCCGTGACGAGGACGCCGCTCGGTGACAGCTGACGGCGGAGAACGGCCGAGAGCGGCGGCGGCGGCGGCGGCGCGATTATTGATCGCACCGCTCAGACACGGAGGCGACACGGATTCGGCCGGCCGCCAATCACACACGCCGCGTAACCACCGACAGACACCGCTGACAGGCACGGCGGCGGCGCCGTCGGAACTCAGGCTCAATCCTACACCGTACACACTGACAGACACACACGGCAGCGGCGCCCATGGCACTTAATCACTCACAGCCAGCCACACGCCATAGTGAGCGGTTCCGTCAATGGCAACGACATGCTTAGTAACATCCCGGTGGAAGCCGGCGCCCGTGGACGTTCGTCAGGGGCGGACCTACACGACCTCCCGGTACACGACCTCCCGGTAACAACCGGCCCCGCGCATGGGATGTGAGCCCCCTGCAGAAACCAGCGACTCCCCAGTGGAAAGCGGCCCCTGTGGGACGTGACCTCCCAGTGGAAACCGCCGCCCCCGGTCCCGTATTGATCGTCCAGCACGCGACAAAAGGCCTCTCCCGGCGGCGAGCTACAAATCCTCCAGGGCTCCGCCGAAACCGGGCCGGCGTCCGACAAAAGCCGCCTCTGGCCACGGCCAGCAAAAACCCACCGAGACGCGCCATCCACTCTATACAACACGGAAAATGGGATGAAATGTTATATAGCCCCATCTCATCAGTCATTTAAGTGTCACACGTTTTTGGAAACATCTAAGAGAGCCTCAAAATGGCTCATGTAACCGAATTTAATCCACATCAAAAGAGATCTAACATGCCATAATAAGCAATGTCAAAACCTTTTCTAAAGTAAACGACCAATCGTTTAAAAGAGGCTTCAAACAGGCAGAGTCTCTTTTAAAGCTAACGTTACTTGCAAGCTTAGCTGCTAGCCAGCCTGGCAAACGCTGTAAAAAAGCTGTGTCGAAAATGAATAGGCAAAACATCGAATGTATTAAAGTGAGAGAAAAGAAAAAGTTACTGGCTTAGGGTGTTAGTTTCTTTTGTTTCCTTTACTTGAGAGTTTTATCGTATCTGGATATCGGCTGCAGCTGTTCGGCAGGCCGACAGCCCGTTCCCTCCCCAGTCCGCGCCAGTGGTTCTGCTTTGTTCGAGACGGCCGCCGCCGGCTCCGACTGATGAATAGCCAGTAAATAAGGGCTGCCGACCTGCGCCTGCCGACGCGGCACGGTTGACCGGCGCGGTGACAGCGTCCCGACAGAATACCGATCAGCCTCGGACACAGGCCGGCGGCTCAGAGCGGCCGGACGCCGCCCCCGGCCGCGCCGACACCGCCAACACACGGCCGGATCAGGGACAATCAAAGGTCACACCGCCGTGCCCAGCGCCGTGAGTCGGCCGAACCGGCCGGGAGTATTGACGGCACGGCCGGCCGACCGGCACCCCGTGCCCCGGATGCAGTGCGGGCGGCGCCCGGCGTCACTGACCGCTGCTCCCTGATGGGACAGATTAGAGTGCAATTCAGACGGCGGGCGGCCGCACAGGCAATCGGCCAAAGCCGGGCCGCTATTCCCGGCCAATTCGCTGTGATTTGACCGGGCTCAGTGGGTCTCAGGCCGGGCAGACCCGGCTCTGAGCGATTGGCGCCGGCGGGCCGTGACTAGACCGAAGCAACGCCAAACCGCAAACTATCGCATATCCAGTGACCAGAGAGCATTGTGGTGGTCATAACTATACCAAACTCCACTTTCAAGGGATTGGCTCCTAAAATTAATCTACTTATGCTCCCGGTATGTGTTCAGCGCTGCTCAGCTGTAGCTCGTCCCCATCCAGAGGACCTCGGTCGGTCGGAACACGGAGGTCTCGTCCACCGGGCAGCAGCATCGCGCGGCGGTCAAACTGGAGACCGCGGCACTGGTCACTAGTCAGTGGTCAGTGGTCAGTGATCAGACAACATCACCCACAGGCGAGCGATGAACCCATGATGTAAGCACAGGGTTGGCCGGCTGCGACCGCGCTAAATAGTGCCCACAGGAACTCCCAACTAAGTTACAGTTTCTAATTAGCCACTCATAAAACAAGTTCATGATAAAATTCGCAAAATCCACCCAAAGCCTGCCATCTCTGGCGAGGAATAAATCACATGAGTTGCTGAGCACGAGTAATTGCATAAAAGGCTACCAGCACCCAGCGCATGGAGCTTTGGATGGCGCCAAATGCCGAACGAGTAACCAGTAGGTGCACTTCGTTAGAAAATGTTGTCATTTGTTCATGCTACAATAGTCTCACTTTGTTGTGCTACTATGGGCTAAAGCAAACTTTCCTTCAGGATTCTAGGGGGTTAGGAGTGAAATTATCACTGGACGTTGGTGCCACAAAAATCTTTGAACTTTCGAAGCAGAATGTCTTGAGAAACTTCTTATCATTTCGATGAAAATGTCTCATTTGGTATGATGTCTTCAACATTGCGGTACAGAGCCCACCAGTGACAAAGTCGTCACTGGTCTGTTCGGCGGCCTGGTTTCGCTCGTATGGGCCATCCGGTCGTCTGGAATGTCAGGGTCCCGTGCCGGCTGCGGTCGGCGGGCCACGGGCCGGCGAGATCGACCACTATTGAGCGCAAACACGCAACAGGTCGCCCGTAGACCGGTGGCGACCTGAGATCGACCTGCGACTGCAGCCGTCCGAGCGCGTCTGTACGGCGACAAACGGCACGTGCCGGCCGTGTGGCACCGGTGACTGACAGCAATGGGAAGACTGCTGATCTTAGTAGGTTCATAGAGACGGGTAGTACGGGGTGATAACGGTCGCGGTCGACCGTTCGATCTCACTAACTTACGGGAAAATATTTCTGTCTGTCACTACACAGCTGAGGAAAATCCGCCACAATGACTATATTCATGCAGAAGTACCCTGTCGCTATAGAGTATAGACCCACTCATAGCGAGTATGCCCACTCATAGCGAGCATGTGACACGGATCCTGCATTCAATCACAGCCTTCTCAAATGATGATATTTCAATTCAATCTAGCCACTGCGCGCTTGGATATCGGCGACACCCATCAGCTTCTGGCCGCCAGCACAGATTTCATACCAGGCATGTTGGTACACTTAATACATTCAAACTTCAGCAGTTTATCCGAAGTAGGTTCGTTAGTTCACTGCTGCAAGTTTCGAGGTGGTGCCGCCCACGCGTCCATCACAGGGCCGGGCCGGATGATTGCACCACTGAGCCCGGGTGAGCCGGTATTAGGCCGACCGCCGCCGGACGGTCGTCAACTAAGCACGTATCTGCTGGGATTGCACCCGCGCTGGATAGAACCCGCAGTCGGAGCGGTGCTCATCACAAATTCACGCGGCGCCGACCTGCAGCCGGACTGGACTATCGGTGACCTTTCGTGCTTCCAGGATCAACCAAAGACCAGGACACACGGGACAATTAAAGTTGACCTCTAGCCCTCTAGCGAGCACTGAGCAGTGTATGACTACCATAGGTCAGATCGACCCCTCGCCCAATGAGAGGACTGACCCATCGCCTGGTGAGTCGACTGACCCGCTCCCCCCGCGCGCGGCGGCTGACCTCTCCGACCCCCCCCCCCCCCCCCCGCCGGGGCCAGGGGCCGCTCGGACTGGTGTCGGCGCGAGTCCGCCCTGGTGCCGGGGTCTGTCGTCGTCCGCCGTCCTCCGGTGCGGACCAGCCGGCAGTGACGGCACTGCAGGCTGGACGGTCCTCGCAGACTCCAGGCGGCAGCCGGCCCGCCACTCTCTCACTTCCTATCCTCTGCCGTCGCCGATAGCGAGAATACCATCACGGCGGCGCCAATTAGTTATCCGGCCTGCCGATACGGGTCGGAAGCGCAGCTGGTTATTAGGGCGCTCAGCGCAGCCCGCCCGTGACGGATGGACAGCGCAGGCACGCGCGCAGCTCCCGGCACGTGGACCGCGTACCCGTCCCATTGGCCCACTGGTGTCCGGACCTGGTGACCTCGTTACTGGCCCGCCCGCCCGCTCTCTCCTGCAGGGGGTGCCAGTGGCCACTGTTTGGCTCCGCGCGGCGCGGCGCCGTCGGCCGCCACTCTCCGCCGGCAGTGTTTTTACAGGTCTGTAATCCCGGGAGCGGTGCCAACCGGGCCTGTCCGACCCTCCGCGCCTGCCGGCGGGGCGGGGCGGGGCGGGCGCCCTTGGCTTAATTAGGCCTTGACCAAGAGCGCCGCGCCACGTGGCCGGGCCGACGAGCCCACGCGGTAGTCGTGACGTAACGTCGGTGCAAACAGAGCGTTATGGGGGTGCCCGGGGTAACACCACCGGCGGGGCGGGGCGCGGGGCGACGGGTTATCGACTCACCGCCCGGCCCGGCGACTGGCACCGTCTAATGTGGGCCTGGCACCGTCTAATGTCGGCCTAATGCAGTCACCGCTGACTGCATGGTGGGGTTGACCAAAGCTGGCTCATCGAATAATATGCCAACACAGTGGTGATTCAATGACAGCCCAACGATGACCCACATGTGACCCCATTTCGACCCAGCTGTAATCCAGCGGTGACGCAATGATTTCCCAGGTGACCCAAGGGTGACTCAAAGATGACTCTGCGGTGACCCGGTCTCTGCTCTGGCCCGCGTCCGACGAGGCTCGGCTCCGGAACCGTTCGGTGGGCCCGGCGCGGCGGCCGGCGGACGCGGTAAAAGCGGCCCAGAATAGCCGGCCGGCCATCCACGGGGCGGCCGGATCGACCCAGCCGGCGGCGCGGCGGCCGTGGAGGCGGCGGAGGAGGCGCCGGCCGGCACATCCGCGGCCCGACCGGACAGAGGCGGCCGGACAGAGCTGGGGCGCCGCGCAGAGCCGGAGCGGAGCCAGGGATAGTCCGGAGCTGGGACGGCACAGAGAGACGGCACCGTCCATCTCAGCAGGGCTGGAGGCGGAGCGGGTATCGGATAACCCGGCAGGAGACGAGATAACGGTTCCCACAGCAGGCGGCAGCTCTACTTTCCAGCTAACCACCAGGCTCTGAAGTGTCTGTAAGCGACAGTACTCAAGTGGCTCCATTTCTTCCGCAATATCATTGAAATGAGAAGCGGTTGAAGAGTGGCAGGTTATGCCTTTTTCCTCAAGCCTCCATCTCGGGAGGGGAGGTGGCAGTAGCGTGAGCCGGTGTGAACCCGGTCGGCGCAGGTGGCGGTTACGGCCGCTCCACCGGCTCCGACTGACCATCCAGCTGGACCCAGTGAGCGGCACCGGTCAGCTGACACGCAACAGCCGGGCGGGGGCAGGTCACGGGTGTTAGGCGGGTGGGACTGGGGGCAGGTCACGGGTGTCGAGCGGGTGGGACTGGGGGCAGGTCACGGGTGTCGGGCGAGTGGGACTGGGGGCGGTCACGGGTGTCCGTCGGGCGGGGGCGGGGCGGGGGAGGGTAGCGGGTGTCCGCCGGGCGGGGGCGGAGGCGGGGGCGGTCACGGGTGTCCACCGGGCGGGGGCGGAGGCGGGGGCGGGTCACGGGTGTCGGACGAGCGGTATCTGCCGGCACCCGCGGCCATCACATCGGCACCGACACGCGAGACAATCGCGGGCGCTCTGCGGGGGCACTACGCGCTGCTGCGCTGCAGAGTCGGCAGAGAACACCAGCGTCCAGCAGGGACAGACAGTGGGGAACAAACAGCAAAGGCCGCCATAGAAGAAAACCGGCGCCCACAGAACACGCATCACTGCGTACTCACGCTGTAGAGGTAGAGATTCTTGTCGTAGCCGGAGAGACCCTCATGGTCGTCCACGGCGAATGGCTGGTTATCTGGCAAATCGACGCTGCCTGGAACACAGAGCAGCACACCGTCAGCACAGGCTCGTGGGGGTCCAGTGCAGCGGTCAGGTGTAGGGACAGCACTGGGCACCAGCTGGTCCCCGCCTGGTGATACCGCTCTGCAGACAGCCCGAGTGATAAACCCCCTCCCGCCTCCCCTACACAGCACTGACGCGGCGGTGTTATCTGTACCCCGGGACCGAGTCCTGCTGTCGGTACCGCGCCCGTGCCGTCCGCCCTGACCGGGGCACGGCCGCGTTCGGCGGCCGCTCTGACGGAGGTAATCGGATAACACCGAGCAGCAGCACCCGCAGCGGCCATCTGTTCCAACAACCACCCCTCCCCAGTCCCCAGCTCTCTCACACACACACACAGAAAACGGAGCACCTTTTTCACCTGGCCACTAATGGGATTGCGCTTAAAGATGCCGGAAAGTGAGGAAAATAGCAGAACGCCGAGAAAAACAACAGAGGATAATGCCCCGCTGAGCTTATAAGATCAAAGTAAGTCGACACAAGGCGAGGAAGAAGTTAAATGACATAGAGATGAAAAATGAGAGGCAATAAATGATAAATCTGAACATCGACCAAAGGCAATCCACGCATAAGAAGCGTTTAAAATTTAGTATCGAGCAGGTCAGGGGGAAGCACTCAGTATGTGCTGGAACTGAAGGGCGACTGAAGCCCGGGCCAGCACCGGACCATTTCAGGACCGCATACCGCTGCCGTTACGGGTCGCCGGCCGCCAGCAGAGACATATGTGCCTCCCGGCCGGCTATAGCGCCGCTGACTCGCCACGCCACCGGACACCGCCAGTTATAGCCGCAGATAACTCTCGTCCACCGAGCCGCGTCAGCAACTACCCAGCCCATTCAGACAATGAGCCCGTACAGCGACAGCCACAAATGAGGCGGACACTGAACCCAGCCCGGTAATACCCAGATGATTCACACCCAACCGATTCAGTTACGGCTCAGATAATTCATACAAACAACAAAGCCAATTGCAAACCAGCCAATCCGTATTCAGGCCAGGTAAGTCCCTTTATTCAGAATACGATCCGAGCCAGTAACAACCATATTAATTCTGGCAGTGACCTGAATCGGGTGCAGTCCCGCGAGTGATTAGTCTCTGCCACCAGTGCAGAGCTGACGGTCGGTAGAGACATGGTCTGGGGCCGACACCGAGAACATCCGGCTAACTTTCGACTCCTGAACCACCTGGTTACCAGCGACCGGTGGGCGTTCTAATCCTCGTTAAAGGGACAGTATCACCATTTTGATGAAATTTGACATTGCATAGGCCCCACCTTTCTGGTCCGGGAACTGAAGACCGATCCTCGAAGCTCCACACCGTTATCCCGCTATCGCCGCTCAAAGTACGAAAGGTGTACCACACTTTGAATCGTGCTTCACTATCTTCACTGTTTAAATGTTTGCGCCGTTTTGAATTGACCGCCAGTAATAAAACTTTTACCCTGGTCATTTCATCAAATTTTATAAAGCCAAAACGTTTTTCGCACTTATTCATCACCGTTAAATTCATTAAATAGTCGTAGGCAATTTCCGCTGTTTCCTTCGGATTCTAGCGGCTCAACAAAGGAATTCCTCCAGCTTGAATCACAATCTCCCTCCAATGTATGACGTTTATCACGTGATTGTCACGTGATATTTTCTCCCATTGTCAATTGTCACGTCCAATTGTCACTCCCTCCAATTGTCACGTTATATTTTTATAGGCAATACCTAAGGCTACCTCTCCCTAAGGACAACTCAATCAGAAGAACGACCGCGTAAGCGTAGCGTCAATAATGTATTATCTGCGCCAGTTCTGTAGTAATTTTGCATGCTTCCAAACTGGCGGCCATGCCTGTATAGTGGTGGTTCGCTCATGAAAATGAATCATGAAAATGAAATGTGGTTGCAATATTTTTCACCGAGTTCGGTCCTCAAACTATGTTTTTCTGATTCAGAAAAATAAGAAATGCTAGTAAAAAAAAAATCAGCTCCATACATGGATTTTTTTTCGATGATACTGTCCCTTTAAACACCCTGAAAAATATCATATAAGCAGATATTTAGTCTGTCAGATGGCCAGGGGCCATTCTAGCTCAGTTTTTCTGCACTAATTTAAATTTTCCCACCTTTTCTGTTTAGAATGAGTGTAAGACTTTAAACTAAAAGTCGCATATGATAAAGAAGTTCAGAGACTCGGTGTAATCACAAATATTGTGAGAAGGCAGCACATTCTAAACAGTCATCGAACGAGGAAGGCTGGCTCCTTCATTGGCAGCTAAAAATAAGACGACCACGGCCGCCACCACTTCTAACATGTTGTGTCTCGTGATCCAACAGCTGTCGTTGTCGCCACCTGACACGGAGCCAGCGATCGGGCCGACAGCCCGTCGTCCCCACCAATCAGTGGTCACTGGTCAGATTCCGACCGAAACTCCGACCCGTTTCCGACCCGATCCCGGCTCCGACTCCGACCTGACCTCGGCTGCGGCTCCTACCGACTCGACCTCAGGCTCCTACCGTCCCGATCCCGGCTCCGACTCCGACCTGACCTCGGCTCCGACTCCTACCGTCCCGATCCCGGCTCCGACTCCGACCTGACCTCGGCTCCGACTCCTAACGACTCGACCTCAGGCTCCTACCGTCCCGACCTCAGGCTCCTACCGTCCCGACCTCAGCTCCTACCGTGCCGAGTCGCTGACAAAGCGGGCGCTGACACGGCCGTCTCAGCTCGCACCAGAGCGTTCGGCATTGATCGGGCGCTCGACAGAAGAGACACCAGCTCTACTAGAGAGAGAGGCAGAGAGGGAGGGAGAGAGAGGGCCGCGGTGGCCGCCCTGATTTCAGCTGCAGAGGGATAGAGGAGCAGCCACGATGACCCGTCCTGATTTCAGCTCTAGAGGAGAGGAGGAGCACGGTGGAGAGACGCGCCTCGGCCACCGTCCGAATTTCACGTCGATACGAAGGAGAGAGGGATAGAGGAAATGATGAACTGATAATGCACACACACAATATTACGCTGGTAGCACATCAAAGGCTCTCGATTCTGAATTCAATGATCGTTATTCCACTCATAAGAAAATCAGCTGAGATGTCCTTTCGAACCCCTTGGCAGAGCTTTGTGCATGTCTCCGTGAAACAAGTGACAAAATGGAAGCTCAAGTTACCGAAAACCTACACTCAAGTATCGTCACCACTGCAGCTGCTTGGTAATATTACGACAATGCCCACAGAGATCCATCCGGCTCATCATAGAGCGGAATAGGTTATTATTGAGCGTCCAACAGAATATCGCCGCTGTCGAGACCGGCTTATGTATGAGATGCCGTACTGCCGCTGTGTATGTGCCAGTGCTCAGTCAAGCCGGAGAACCACACATTGACATCATCGCCCCACAGCTGTTTAATGCTCCCTCCCGACCACCATTTGGGATTCATCCCTGCCTGAGCGGCGCATAAGTCAGTCGGCCGGTCCTACGGCGGAGGAGGGCTCTCCACTCCAGGAACGCCGGTGCGTGTCGGTGCATCGGAACTGCGAAACAGCGCTCTCTGTGTCTCCCGGAGAGCGCTTCCATTCTGCCAGTGATGCCGCCGGAAATACAGATATACGCATTGAGGGCCATCAGCAGCGAGAGAGAGAGAGAGAGAGAGAGAGAGAGAGAGAGAGAGAGAGAGAGAGAGAGAGAGAGAGAGAGAGAGAGAGAGAGAGAGAGAGAGAGAAAGAGAGAGAGAGAGAGAGAGACAGAGAGAGAGAGACAGAGAGAGAGAGACAGAGAGAGAGAGAGAGAGAGAGAGAGAGGGAGAAAGAGAGGGAGGGAGGGAGAGAGAGAGAGAGAGAGAGAGAGAGAGAGAGAGAGAGAGAGAGAGAGAGAGAGAGAGAGAGAGAGAGAGAGAGAGAGAGAGAGGTGAGAGGGAAAGAGAGAGGAGGAAGCCAGCGGTCCGCAACAGGGTCAGGGCGGCAGATTCGATCCCCAGTGGCCAACGCTTGGTGGGTCTGACAAGAATTCAGAGGACGAGCAGGGATTTCAGAAGTGCCACTGCCTACCAGCCGCACACTATGTAAAGAGAAACGCTGGCCGTCACTGGGTACCAGCTGGCGCTGACGCTGGACGCCGGCGGGAGGCTGCGGTGTGCCGGTGGGGCGGCCGCCGCGGGGTGTCCAGTCGCTGCCCGCTGGCCGGCCGCCAGCCGCCTCTGCTCGGGGGCTCAGGGGGCGGGCCGGGCTGACACTGTGCGCCGCTGACCCCATTCAACACCGCCGACCCCCTGTCGCTGCCTCCGAGCGGTCTCACATACACACAGCTGACACAGCGCCGGCCAGCTCAGCGGCCAGCGGAGACGGAAGGAGCGAGACCGTCCAGACCGCACCAGACCAGACCAGACTGCATAGATTAGGCCAGACCAGACCGCCTATCCCACACCAGACCGTCCAGACCAGATCGGCCTCAGCCACCAGCCCAAAAACGAGCACGCACTCGGCAAGTTTCGGAGAAACTAATCGAGATGCTTCGACTTCACCAAAAGGTGACGGGGTTGTGAAGTATGTCGGCACACATCACTCTCGTGGGCTGGGCTGCGACACTCCAAGTTTGTGAGTCTCTGTAATGGCGCCGTAATATGTTCCTTCCGGTCTGACCAACGTGCGGCGGCGGAATTCCATAGAGATTCAGAAATAGCCAGTAGCCGCAGAGTAATTCAGGTCAGGTTCAGCCTCCAGCATAAATGTCCTAACGGGTACAACAGACCGAGCGCGCCAGTGAATACAAACCGAGCTGAGTTCATACTCACAGAGACCTTACACCGCCAACCCGACCCGGTTTATACGCCAGGCAGTGATCACGGGGTCGGATCACGATCATCGGTCACCGGACGAGGAAGAGATGGAACTGGTCCACTCCAAGAACCGCATATCGGCATCGCCAAGAATTTCAATAAACCAACCAGCGACATTATGTTAACTGTGAGCTGTGCTTCAAGCGATGGTGTCTTGTATCGCA